ATCATAATCAAGATAGCCAAGATCTTTGCCCTTACAGAGACATGAATTTTGTTTGACTGTTGTTATATAACCTCATGCTGGGTCCCATTCAATTTCTTCCATCAACATTAAAATGTATTTTCTATCTATGCTGACTTGCACTAAGAGTAGCAATGCAACACCATGATGCCACAGAAATATAACCTAACTATTGGAAGAATCCTAAGGACACAAGTGCGCAACACAGTGACCATGATCATATCAAACATGACCCACCTTTACACAGGTTTCTGAAGCAACATTTCATCATTGATACTTTCCCACTAGAAATATTCCTGAAAATAATTCATTTCTGAAAACACATAAGCTACTAAGTTTTGGCTATTGTTCCCTACTGGAATGGTGTCAGAAGCCTACAGGCTGTAGGACAGGGAGGTAAAATAACTGAAAGAATATAATGAAAATTAAGAAAAAGTATTTTGAAGGCCAGCTGCAATTCCCAAATGGAAATCTTTGCAATGATTTCTGACAACACCGAGTCAGGCCTAAAGTGTTCAGTTTCTCCCTTTGATACAGAGCAAAGAATATGCTCCTGTTAAGGATGACAAAATAAGAGCAACTCTTAAGAACCAAGAAAAAAAAAAGTCTACCTTTAACTCAGAGCAGTGAATAGATTTCTCCTGCTCTGGCAAGGTTCCAGGCACCATAGTAGAAAACCAATGTAGCATTTATTTTCAAAAGTACGGGGGGGGGGAAGTCATTAAAATATCTTAGAGGTTTTTACTCCAGAAAAAGCATTTAAACAGGTACCAGTCGACAAAAAGAGAACCTGGCCTCATGTTTTAGCTACTCATTTTATAACCTCTGTCTCAAAAAAGATCTCCCTCTCCTTGGTTAAAATACTGTGATGCAATAGCCAAAGGATACTACATGTACACTTTAAAATCAGTAATGTTAATAGTTTGTGAGCTTAAAAACTGTTATGAAATGCAAGAAAGTTTACCATCACAGTAATCTTGACTTTATATACACAAAAATTATCAAAGTTGATTATTGTGATTAAGCTTTCTTGTGGTAAATATTTAACAACAGAACATTAACAATGTATTTAAGCATTAAACAGAGAAAAAGAGGTATACATAGAATTAATTAGTTAGTTTATTCTTCTTACATTTCCAAAATGGCACTTTACAAGTTTAAAATTTAATGTTCTTTTGTTAGTTTTTGGAAAAAGAAGAAGGAAAGCCAAGCACACATAAAACCTGAGAAACAAAACCTTCAGAGCAAGTTTTCAGTTGGTACCTCCCACTTCATATTCAGTTTCTCAGGGACGATCATGCAGCGACAATCTGGTTAGAAGCAAGCAGCCAACGGGTGTGTAATTTGCATGTGAAAATATTTTTAGAAGACACACATGAATAGCATATGTTCTCAGCCTGAGTACAGTCTTCTAAATATATGCCCTGAATATTATTTCCCCAACATTCATAATTATTTTCCAGATAATGATTCCTGCTACAGATACGTTACTCTGTGAAAACAACATACATATCAAGCCTTAAACAACACAGATTTTAGAGTTCACCTTGGGGGCTGGGGGGAGCCTCTATATGATTAATTTTTTTCCTCCATATCTGGACATACTAACAGCAAAAGAAAAGAGGGGTTTTTCCTATTACACTACATGCTCGATGCATATGCCAAGAGGCTTCAGTCATGGAAAGTGCCCATTCCAGATACGCCTTTTAGAAATATTATAATAAATTAAAATGAATTAATACTTAAACTGTTTTAAAATCTTTACTGCTGATGTAATGACAAAGTTGGCAAATTACGCTTGAAAACAGAGTGTAACAAGAGGATACACTGATTCAGAAAGTTAAATCAGATATGTATGTTCACTTGCCTGAACCAAAGCAGCTTCAAAAATTGTGTCAGAAAACCCTTCTACTCCTCCTATGCTTAGAAAAAAAGTTAAAAAAGCTAAAGATGGAAGTCAATAAAACCAGAAATAAGCCATGTGCTCATACATTGTTAGTTAAATCTAAACCTAAACTAGTCAAACTGACACCACATGCCAGAGAAAACAACATTTGAGTAAACAGCAGTCTAACTAGATCCCAAAGTCATTACCAGTCCACATCTGGAACACCCAAACCAATTTCTGGTGACTCTGGAGTTTGCATCATGTAGCAAGTATTACTTTAAGACTGTTTTGTTCAGGCCAAATGAAGTTCTATTGTATTGTGAGAGGAAAAACCTCAGTTTCTCTTCTTTGCCAACATGTAAACATTCTTCCTCAAGCACGTGGAAAAAACTCAGGTCTGGATTCTTTCTTTGGCCCAAGCTGTCCTTTATTCAACTTCAATGTCAGGGAGGAAAAAAGGAAGGATACCAGTAAATTATACTGTGGTACTTAATAGTAAATAAAAAATACCCAAAATCACAGAATGGTTTGGGTTGGAAGGGATTTTTAAAGGTCATCTAGTCCACCCCCTCTGCAGTGATCAGGGACATCTTCAACTAGATCAGGTTGCTCAGAGGCCCATCCAGCCCGACCCTCAATGTTTCCAGGGATGGGGCATCAACCTCCTCTCTGGGCAACCTGTTCCAGTGTTTCACCACCCTCATCGTAAAAAATTTCTTCCTTACATCTAGCCTGAATCTACCCTCTTTTGGTTTAAAACCATTACCCCATTGTCCTATTGCTACAGGCCCTACTAAAAAGTCTGCCCCCAAATATAAGTTAACTTAGCAAAAGAGATGGGGGCAGTGAGGGGAGACAAAAACCAGAAAATGGAGGCATTAGGTAGCTTTGAAAATCTAAACAACATCAAGTAATGAATTCTAACTGATCAGAGAACTGGAATCTATGCTGGAGCTTTTTCAAAGTCAGTCCATGCTAACAAGCAGGAAAAACATCTACTTAATCATTCTAAAGCACAAACACACACACACAAGCAAACACCTTTTACCACTTCATCTGTTAGGCACTATACACTTGAAACAAAAGCTGATGCTTGGTAGAAGCCCAAAACAAAACAACGGACACTAGTCACCCCTGGGAAAAGTAAAGACTTAAAACTACAATGAAAACAAGCTAAAAATTTATTATTGAAATTAATAAACAGAGCATATATTAATTTTCGTACATCCAAACATTGTATTTTAACCATAAGTACTAGTAGGGCTAAAACCACAATACTCAGAGAGTCATAAAATGCCATGAGAAAAATCATTGCATACATACAACTACTGAATGAAACTACTTAACGACATTATTCAGTGGCCTGCATTATTCAACCAGTTTTAACAGTGAAATAGAGCAACTGAAAAAGAGATGAAATACACACACTGCCTTTGATGTGTGTGTAGAAATGCCAGTCTCAGTGGCTGTAGAGCCCATTGGTTCCTTGTGCTCAACATACCCAAAAGTGCTTTACACTCCTGATAAAAGTACACAGAAAAAATACATTCTCCACAATGAAAGCACTAATGAATCAAAGCCCAGGATCAATCTAAAAAAAGTACTCTTCACAAAATTATTAGCAAGCTTCATTACAATCTTTCTCCAGTCAGGCAGTTTCCTCCAATACAACCAAATACCCTCAAATATTAATTCAAGCTTCAAAACGTTGCTGTACAAATTAGAGGGGTAACTACAACAAAAAGCCAGATTATGGCTGTTACAACGGAGCCATCATACTAACAGATTATTTCACGATGTAAATCATACGATGCCAAACGCTTTTTAAAAATGCGACCAAGAGTAAGGTGTCAGCAAAGCAGAGGCAGGCAAGAAGAGAGGAGGCATTTTTTGTGTTATCACTAGAACAATTTCCTGACTCATTCCATCCTCCAGCCCCGGGGACCAGGCTGGCTTGGTCCACACACCGACAGCCTTCTTGACGTAAATGAAGCCGAGCACTGACCTAAATGCCGTTGCTGTTGAGCTCCTTGCAGCTCACGCTGGAGGAAAAGGGGCCAGCACGGATTCAAAAGCCAGCATATCCCACACTCGAGCTATTTCAGCCCGAGACTGCTGGCGCAGAAACGCTCGTCGAGACCGAGAGCCCCGCACGGCCTCAACCTCTTTTGAGACTGAAACCTCCAAAAAAAACCCACCAAACGACTGCGAGGCAAACTCTAGGCTGCTTCAGAGCGGAGATGATTAATTTTTGTTTTAAAGGGAGCCCGCACGTCACCGCAGCGCTTCGGTGGAAGCGGAACTGCCAGAACCGGCCTCGAGAAAGGCGAGACCCGAGGTACCGAACCTCGGGCAAGGTTAAACCACACGCCGGGCGTGATTTTAAGCAAGTGTTCCACGAACTGCACCCTTCCTCCTCAACTCCCTGCCCCGACCAACGCGCAAAGGCATTGCCGGGAGCGACTCGGTCCCTCCCGTTACCGGGGCGGCCGCGGAGGCCGTAGGCCCACGGCAGGCGGAGCTGCCGCTTTCCCCTCAGTGAGCTACGAGGGGCCCGGCTACCGCCCTTCGCCCCTCCGGCGGGCGGGCAGGCAGGAGGGGCAGGTGCGGGCCCCCCCTCCTTGCTCTCCCGGCGAAGGGGCGGCGGAGGGCAGCGGCGCCCTCCTCACAAAGCCGGCCCCGGCGGTAGGCGGCCGGGTAGATCGTCCCCTCCCACCGCTCTTCCCGTGAGGGAGCGGGGGAAAGGAAGGGCAAGGGCGGGGAGGGGAAGAATTACCTCAGGCGCTGCTCGCAACGGCCGCGCAGCCCGGTTCCCGCCCGCCGGCGGTGCTCCGCCTCCGTGGCCTGACGGGAGCGGGGCGGGCCGGCATGGCGGCGGGGACGCGCCGGAAACGGCGGAGCGGAGCACGCTTGGCGCTGAGGTGAGGGCCGGGGAGTTCACGGCGGCGGGGCGGGGG